CTGGGAAGGCCTCCTCACGAAGCCTGTCGACACTCTCGTGGAACTGCACCCGCTGGCGCGTGCCGTCACTGAACAACGCCACTGGCTGGGGGCGAGCGTCTGCCGAAGCCTCGGCGCCACGGTAGGCCACCTGCGAGGTCGAAATCAGACGGATGGCTGTCCAGCTTCCGTCTGGCCCCTGCTTCAGCCCGATAGCCCCTCGCACGAGCTCCGAGCCGTCGACCGTGACTGGGTCTCCGCGCCGGGCGAGGGTCGTGGTCTCGACGTAGACCCACTGCCCGCCTGGCCCTGGCACGGCCGTCGGGTCCAAGGGCCCCGCAGGGGCGGCCGCAGCCGCGAGCGGTGCGGCCGCGGCGGCAGCCGGCGCAGCGGCGGCCGGAGGTGGAGGGCCCACCGCCGCCGGGACCACGGCCAAGGCTGCGGCCACGGCGGCTCCGCCGCCAGGGGCTGGGGCAGCCGACGCAGGCCCAGGAGGGGCGATGCCGTCCGCGGGGGGGCCGAAGGTGAAGTAGACCGCAGCTCCAGCAGGCGGCGCAGCGCCAGCCCGACCTGCAGCTCGCTCCGCCGCCAGGTACACGTCCCGCGCGTAGGCGTTCAGCTCGTTCTGGATCGCCACCTCCTCGGCCGCCGTCAGAGAACGCCTGAACCTGTAGAGGTTGCCAGCGCCCAGGCCAGCGGGTCGAGTGCGGCGGTCGTCCTCGAAGCGGACCGCCGCCAGCGAGCCGTCCGAGAGGTCGCGCAGCTCCTCGTAGACGTCGCCGTCCGGCGACGAGATCAGCACTCGTAAGGGTGACCACCGAGGGTCAGTCGGATGCTGAGTCACCCGGCCCCACACTCGCCGCTGATGCCACAGCGGCGCGCCTGCGTACTGCACCCAAGCCCATTGCCGGAAACCTGGCGGAGCTGGCTCCTGAGCCATCCTTGATCGTGGCCAGCGTCAGGCGCGGCGTGATCTTCCAGGCGACGGCCCCGAAGAGCTTCAGCGCGTGGACCGAGAAGATGAGGACGTTAGCCACCACCAGCGCGAGGCTCAGCCAGCTGCCGGCCCACGTCGCGCCCTCCGCCTCGGCGCTGGCCGGGCTGGGCGCCGGGGGAAGCGCGGGCGCCTCGGGGGCCGCCGGGCAGACCGCTGGCGGGTGGACGTGGATCGGCGCCGCCGCTGGGCAGGCCAGGCACGTCGGTGTCTGCGGGCACGCAGGGCAAGCCGGGCAGCGAGCCGACCAGCTCACGACCGACTGGGAGATGGTCCCCAGGAGCCAGTCGACGTATCGCCGGCCGAGCAGCCAGTCCATGTGGAGAGGGGGAAGCTGTCTCCCGGCGCTCGCGCCGGTGTCAGCTTGAGCACAATCGGTTGCGGGCGTGCAGTGACGCGCGGCCCCCTCTACCCAAGGCGCTCTCAGAAAATATTAACATGCACGCGTTGCCATATATAGGTGTGTGTGTGTGTGTGTGTGTGTGCGCACGTATGTTCCATGCATGTTGTCCGTCTGTGGGCCATCCTGAGCCCTTAGTGGGGCAGCTCGAGCCCTTAGGGTCCACGAAGGTTTCGCACATAGCACCGGCTGGGAGACATGACGCCCGACGTATTATCGCATGTCCTAAATGTCTTTCTATATATGCAAATATATGTGCATATATATATATATATATATATATATATATATATATATATATATACATAACACCCATGTGGACTGCTGCATGTGTGTGTGCGCGTGTGTGTGTGCATGTATTCGTTCAACACCGCGTCGTAATGCCTTTCATCCTCGTTGCCGTTCAGCCTCAACTCCGTGACTCGCAGAGCCACGCAAGAGCGTGCAGCAGTGTATGGCGTCATGCGGGCATTCTTACGGACCTCGAGTGGCGAGGCACGAGACCCAGCAAGCAGTGTTGAGCATCCTGCAGAGAACAATGTTCCAAGCAGTGTTGAACAACCTGCAGAGACGTTCAGTCCCATCGCGGCCGTGAGTCGGTGGTTGACTGTGAAGGGGGCCTGCGTGTAACACACCAGACTTTCAAACACTGCGTGCGGATGCAGGTGTAGATGTGGATGTAGGTGTACATGTAGATGTAGATGTAGGTGTATATGTAGGTGTAGGTGTACATGTATATGTGAGTCTCGCTGTTGATGTAGATGTAGATGTAGATGCAGATGTAGATGTAGATGTAGCTGTAGATGGAGGTCTGGATGTAGATGTAGGTGTCGATGTATATGTAGGTGTAAATATAGATGTAGATGTAAAGAACTCCTCAGTGCCCCGCCCTCATCTCCGTGCCTGCTTGCTTTTGCTGCTGTCTCGGCGACTTGCTGCCTGCTTCTGCTGCTGCTTCACTTACGGCGTGGCGTCGCCGGTTCTGGCGCTACTACTACTACTACTACTACAACTACTACTACTACTACTACTACTACTACTACCACTACTACTACTACTACTACTACTACTACTACTACTACTACTACTACTGCTAGTGCTACTAGTGCTACTGCTACTGCTACTAGTGCTACTAGTGCTACTAGTGCTACTACTACTACTACTACTACTACTACTACTACTACTACTACTACTACTACTACTACTACTACTACTACTACTACTACTACTACTACTACTACTACTACTACTACTACTACTACTACAGCGACTGCTACAACTACGACGATGAGAAGAAGGAGGATGACTGCGTTTACCGCTCCTACTAATGTTGCTTTCCTAGAGGCTCCAACTCCTAGGTAGGGTCGCACTGGGATAATCCTTCGAACTTCGAAACCTCCGAGGGCCTCCAAGAGCTCGAGCTGAGGGCCTCGGGAGGGCCTGCGGATCCCCCCCCCTCCCAGGACGCCTTACCGAGAAAACCAACGGGTACCGATGCTGCTACTCCCCGGACCTTTCCTGGGGTGCGTCCTGACCCGAATTTCGAGGCGAACCCAGCAGTGGCGACGAGGGCCTCCGAGGCCCCCAAAAGGGAAAAGCCAGGGACGGGTAGCGGTTTGGTGGGTGCTGTACCTTTTCCTCCGCTGAGCTTGCACTCCCTGTTCTGCGCCCCGCGCAGGCGCCACGAGAGGCTGCCACCTTCGCGCTCTCGCTCGCGCAACCCCTTCTTTTGCCAGGCACCACCACTGCGCCGCTGCTCGGGCGCGAACTAAGGGGGGGCGATGGTGGGGGGGGAAAGGTGCCCTCTTGGGGCCGCCTCCCTTTGGGGCTCTAAAGGGCCACTTCAGAGACCCTATATACAGGGCTCCTTATCGGCAGCCCTCGCTGTCCCCCGATTCTATCGCCTCCCCATTACGCGAGGCCCAAGCTGTAGTGGCCCTGCCCTCTTCGGGTGCCCGGGCCGCCCCGGGGGCAGCCCGGGCCCTCCAGGGAGGCCATGCCGCGTGGGCGCGCAGGCGACGAGAGAGCGGCGCGGCACGGTGAGAGCCAGAGCTCCGGCGAGGTGGGGTGCTCAAGCGGTGCGTTCTCCTCGATTTTGGCCTTTGGGGCCCGTCGCTGGGACCTGGGGCGATCAAACATTTGGCGGCGCGCACAGGGGGGAAGTGAGTAGGGGCGGGCCTCTCAGAAGAAGTTTTCTGAGGCCTCCCCGAAGACACAGAACACCTCTCAGAAGGCAAGAGGGCTTCTGAGAAGTCCCGCCGCCTTCCGAGCAGGCTTTCTCCTTCTCACTTCTGCCCCTCGCTCGCCGCCGAAAGATGGGCCAGGGGCGCAAAGCTGGCGGGAGGAGGTCTGGGTCAGAGCAGGCCACACCGCTCAGGGCAGCCTTGACCACAGCGCACATGGCGTGTCCGAGCAGGCGAGCAAGGCATCGACACGCGTCGGCAGACTCTTCGCCATTCGGGCTCTTCTCGTCCCCTCAGGCCCCTCGAGGGGCATTGATATGGAGGGACTGGCATAGGGGGGGAAGCATCGACCTGGAGTCGGCGATACATCGCCGATAGATCGGCGATAGGAGCCCGATACCGAATCCGCACGTTCCTGGGCAGGGCGGGGCTATCATACCCTTATTATCGGCGATCGATGGGCGATCGAGGGTCGGAGGCGACTCTACACACAAAGACTCTTCAGGACATCAGTAAGCCAACTCACTGCAAAATCCGAAAGGGCGGGAAAAAGCAAGCAAGCAGATGACTTTCAAACATCAGCCCCTTCAAATCCACAAGCAAGCACACAACAATGTATTTCCACCCCCCCTTGACGAAACACTGAAACAGCAGACTGACTACAACTGCGAACGGACACGCTGAATACTATGCTTCATCTCTCGTTCGGTACGTCCCCGCCGCCAGGCCCACGCGCAAAGCGCCGTCTCGAATCACAATGCAACATAAGGCATTCAATTTCTGCTTCGGCGCGCCCCGGCCGCCGAGGGCCCGCACGCAGCACGGCCCCGACCGAACGACAATGACGAATCTTGCTTTCAAAACTCTCCTCTGGCACGCCCCTGCCACCGCACCCCCACGCGGAGCACTGCCCCGAACGCCAATGACGAGTGTTCCGTTCAATTTCTGCTCTGGTGCGCCCCCGCTGGAGCACAGCCCCGAACGACAATGCCGGGTAATGCGTTTAATTTCTGCTTCGGTGCGACCCCGCCGCCAAGGCCCCACGCGGACCCCAGCCTCAAGGGCCCCAAAATGCCTCCGAGAGGCCGCGGAATTTGCCGAGAAGGCCCCGAAGGTGTCCCAATTGATCCACAAGATGGCCTCAGGATGTCGAGCTCCCTCATGGCTCACTGGAGCCGTCCAGTCCGCGAGGGCTTCCTAGAGCCTCTCACAGGCTGGTAGGGGTTCCCCAAGACTCCGCTGGCCGCCCAAACAGCAATCAAGCAGACGGCGGGCCAGACCCTTGAACCTGAAAGCCTGAGTCGCCTCCCTGATCGATGCATCCCCTCCTATGCCTATCCCCCCCCGTCGTTGCCCCTGGCCCCTCGGTTGGCCAATCGGCCGTGGTCTCTGCTCGACGAGGCGGGTCACCCGTCTCCCTTCCTCCACCCCGCCGCGCCGTGGCCTCTGCCCGACGAGGGCGGGCGCGGTGCGGCTCGGGCACGGATGGCCTCCTCCATGGGGCGGAGCCGGGGGGAAGGGCCGGCCGGGCAGAGACACGGCGGGGGCCCGAGTGCCTGAAAGGAGGCGCGAGGGCCTTGCACCCGAGAGCCGACGGCCGACTGCGCAGAGCCACCCGGAGGCCCCTGGGAGTGAGGGCCATCAGTCTGCCTTAGGGTTCTCTCTTGAGCACGCACGGCGTCTGAGCCCGCTCGGCCGCCGAACGGGTAGCCGTGCCGACAGGGTCGAGGCAATTGAGCCCGCTCGGCGGCCGCCGCATGGGCTCGACTTCGATCCCATCCGTTGGCCGACCTGGGGTGCCCTCCCCTCCCCCCACCAAACGGCTCCCGGCAACGGGGTCCCTCGGGCACCTCAGGGAATACCCTGCGAGCACCAACTGCTCACTCGAGAGAGAGAGAGAGAGAGAGAAAGAAACAACAAACAAAAACGCTGGCCGTGGTGGTTGTCGTATCTCCGCTTCCAGACGACGCCCCGGATTCCCCGCCGCACCTTCGGCACACCTGAGCGACGATCAAGAACGGGTCTTGCGCGATACGACATAGCGACCTTACGCGGCGGCTTACGCTGGCCGCCAGCGCGGCACGCCACATTGGAGAGGAGTGCGCGTACGCGGCGCGACCTCACGCGGGGAGCTTGCGCGCCAATGTCGGCGAAGGCGACTCCGTTTTCGTGCGCCGCTCACCTGGGATCACTCGCTGGGTCAAGGCCGTGAGGAGCGAGGCCCGGCGGCGCGCACAGGCGGGTGGCGCGAGGGGGCGGCCCTCCCCGAGAAGGCCACCTGGGCCCCCTGGAAGCCGAGGGCCTCCTGAGAACGGCCTCGGGGGCTTCTGATCGGGGAACCACTCGGCGGCGGGCGAGGGGGGGAAGGGGGAAGTTGGCAGGACAGGGCCTTTTTCAGAAGGCGGCGGGACTCCTCAGAAGCCCTCGCGCCTTCTGAGAGGTGTTCTGTGTGTTCGGGGAGGGCGCAGAGAGCTTCTCAGAAGGCTGGGGGACTTCCGAGCCTTCTGAGAACGCCTTCTCCTTCTCACTTTCACCCCTCGCTCGCCGTCTGTCTACTGACCCAGGTCAATCCAGACCCAATTTACTCGGGCTTTGCAGGATGCTGGGAGATCCGGCGCTCGGGCTGACCCCCGCTTGCATTGACCCCCGTCTCAAGGCTCCCGACCTTAAAAGGCTTCTTGGAAGCCGGGAGAGCCTCTGAGAAGCACGCTGCCTTGCGACGGTGGCACGTGGGGGTACGAACTGTACAGCCGCCCTGGGACAGGCGCCTCCGATGGCGGAGCAACTTATGTCATACCGTTCTTCGCCCGCTACCCGATTGCGCGGTCGCCGACAGGCGTCGGGCAGCAACCTCCCCCCCGAACAAAAAAACCCTGCCAACCGCCATCTAACAATGCTGCCCCTATCGCGCCGCCCCCTTTGGCGCGCTGCGGACAGGCCTCGGACAACAACCTCCCTCCCACCACACGAAGAAGAGACGCCCCCCCCGAAACAAAACACCTGCCGGCCGCCATCGCGGGCGCCCTTCGAACGCGGCGGCCGCCGCAGCGCCGGCTTCCCAGTCAAATTTCCGCGGCGCTCGAGCCCCTCTTCTCCTTCCGCCTCTTTCGGTGGTAGCTCATGGGAGCCTCCCATACCATCTTGTTGGCTCTTGCGAATTGACGCTGATTGACGCTACTCCACTGACTACCAACTACATTCGACGCTCGCGCACTCTCAAGACGGAACTGCGAAGGTATACAGGGCGTACAGGGCTCCCACGATTTGCTGCCGACCCCACCCCTCCCTCCTCCTGCGGTCAAAGGCGCGGGCGCGCGCGGGACCCCCCCCCTCGATGTCGGCGCCTCGACAGCGGCGACGGAGCCGGCCGAGAGTTCCGCCGGCGGCCGCGTGCGTCAGTGAGGAGTGCCTGCGGGAAAGGTCGGGGGTTACTAAAGGTGCCTCTGGCCCATGGTGCCCCCAGCTTTCCGCTCAATTCTGGAGCCCTGAGGCACCTTGGGCCAGGGGCGCTTCTAGCAACACCCGAAAAGGGGGTCCCACTTGAATGCCCGATTCACCATCTGGCTCTGTTGGGCGGGCTGTCGTGCGTCGCCCCCCCCTGCGCGGAACGGAAACATGTGATTACACCAGAGAAAGCCCCCAATCAGTGGATGGTTTGAAAATTCGTGATATGGAGATTTAGGTCGATTGTGAGATCGATTGTGAGACCGATCGTGGGATTGATAGTAAGGACGATAATGAGGTCGATCGTGAAACTGATCGTGAGGTCTATTCAATGAAATCGATCGTGAGATCGATCGTGAACCCGGAAACCCGAGAACCCCGCCGCCCACTTAAATCGGTCCGGAACCAGCAGCGGGGAACCCCCGACCCCTTCAGCGCAACCACTGATTGGGGACAAATCGCAAGAATCGTAGCCAGCGCGGGCCACAAACAGTGACTTTTGCACTGTACGCGGCGCAACCCAGTTGGTGCAATCAACGTGTTTCAATTTAGATGGGCCAATCTATGTGGTGCAACCTCTGTGATGCAATTCGCCCTGCCGATCTTGAAATTGTTAACCCCACTGCTCGCGCAAGTATCTCGCACACCCGCCCACGACTTGGTCTACAAAACCCACGCGGCGGTGATTGCGATGGCTGCTTGGCGCTGTCTGGCGCGTCGCTGCGGCCGCGCTAGCGCGCGCAGGCTCTCGCGCAGAGCGGCCAGCTAGTCTGGCGCGACCGACGCGGCCGCAATGGCGCTACCCGCTGGGCACTTCCAAGCGCGTCTCGCTAACTAACGCGCGGGCTTTTCAGTGCGAGACGGTGAATCGGGTGGGCGCGGTATCATGGCGACGTCGACAACATCAAACGCGATGATTATGATAGTAGCGATGCTGGTGACGACGGTGACGATGAGGACGGTAAGGCCAATGACGGCTCCGATAGTGATCGCGCCGATGACGATGATGGTGTCCACGTTTCGTTGGTGAAGGTTTTGAGAGGATTTCGACATGCGCTCGCGGCCGACGGGCGCGAGAGGCCCGCATGAACTTGTTTGACAGGGATCGTGCCCGCCCACCAGCACGCGCGCAAAGGGCGTTCGAATGATTTCGACATGCGCGCGAGAGGGCCCTTTGGTCGCATTTTTGCTGATTCTTGATCAACGAATGTCATCGTTTTTTGCATCGGCTGATGGTGGTGGTGGGGTCGATACCAACTGGGCTGAATCGCATGGGAATTGCCCATCCGCGGGGGCAGAATCGCATGTGAATTGCACATCCGCGGCCACAGGGCGCGCGCTCCCGGATGCCAAGGGACGGCGCACACCGCCGCCGCTGTCTTCAGCAACATGTGTGCCCTCTCTGGGGTCCCGCGGGTCCGTTGTCCCCGCGGGCGTCGAGTGGCCCTACACGGCCGACTCGACATGTTTTGTGCTTTTTGTGAACTGCGACGGCCTCCCGTGCCCCCTCGCACAATCGCCGCCGAAACTGTTGGGCTGGCAAGGCGGAAAGACTTGCCGCAGACAGCCGGGTACCGATACCGCCACTCCGCGGACCACTCCTGGGATGCATTCTGACCAGAACCTCGAGGAGAATCCAGCCGTGGTGACGAGGGCTCTCCAGGACGAGCAGCGGTATCGGTATCTTCCCCGCCTCTGCGAAAACTTGGCGGCGCGCACAGGGGGCATGGGGGAGGGGGAAAGGCTTCTCAGAAGGAGGCTGCCTCTGAGAAGGCGCGGGCCTTGTCCACAGATATAGGGCCGGCGCCTTCTGAGAAGCAGCCTGCTTCATAGAAGCCTTCCCCCCTCCCCCACATACGCCCCCCCCTGTGCGCGCCGCCAGAAAGCAGCGAACACCAGCGAATACCTCCCAAACCGACGCGAGATGGGAGCCCCGCGCCCCCCTCGCGGACACGCCCGCGCGCCGCGCAGCACGGGCGCGGCCGCGCCTCACCCCGCCGGGCGCGGCCTCGCGCGGAGCGCCCGCTGGTGGAGCAGCTCGCAGGCCGCGCCCACGAGCGCCACGAGGAAGAGTGGCGGCTGCACGCAAGAGCGACCCCGGGCCCATGACCGGTGGTGGAGCAGAGAACGGGGGCCATGACCAAGACTGAGCGCGGAAGCGTCGTCTCGATGTTGGTCACCATCGACCTGGGTCAGCGTCATTTCGTGGATCCTCCTCGCGAATCGGCGACGGCCAGCATGGACCATGGCCAAGATCGGCATTGGCGAAATCCCGCGACGTCTTGGTCATGGTCTCCGTTGTTCTTCCCTCGAAGAGTGACCTTTGTCGGCGGCGCGCCAACAGACGGGGCGGGCTTTCTCAGGAGGCTCGGAAGGCCTCCGGCCTGCCGAGAGGTTTTGTGAGCCTGGGCGCAGAAAACTTCTCGGCAGGCGCGAGGGCTTCCGAGAAGTCCCGCCGCCCTCTGCGACGGCCCCCTCCCTCTGACCCCCCCCGCCTCCCTCCGCCTCGCGGCCGCCTCTGGTGCGCGGCTTGCTGGCCGTTGCGCGCGGTGCGGGGGAGGCGGCCTGCGTGCTTGGGCTTTGGCCCCGCAGGGCCCCCCGGAAGCCGTGCACCAGAGGTCTCTCCGGCGAAGGGTCGCCCTCACGTGCAGCCGAGAAGGGCGAGCCGGCCGGCAGCGGAGCGGGCCGCCCCCCGGGCCCGGGGCAGGAGGCCAAGAAGGCCAGACGACGGCAGCGGACAAGCCCAGAACTCCGACGACATGGGCTGTTCAATTCTGGCGGCTCTTCCACGGTATCGGTCCTCGGGGGCCGCTCTTTCTGAGGAGAGCAATGATCGTGCTGGGAGGAAAGGGTTGCGAGGATGAAGGGCATGAGCGTCAGGGTGCAATGAACGATACCTTCGGCCGCATATGGGTAAGGGTATCCTCATTCCCAGCCCCATCCTACCAAACACGAGATTTTCGAGCCTGGGGATACAACAACAACAGCAACAACAACAGCAACCGCAACAGCAACAACACAAAACCTGGACTGAGAACTGCACCCGGAGAGGGGGTCGGGAGCTCTGGGGCCGCTCAGTGGAAACACTCCTATCTTCAGAATCCTGGGGCCGCAGCCAAGCTTGTTTGGCGTCTCCTGTGGCCTTCGCGTCGCCACAGCTGGAATCGCCTCGAGATGCTGGGCAAACAGCACCTCTGGAAAAGCCCTCGGGGGGACGACAACGAGTTATGACCCAACAAACAAGCCCCCTCGCCCCAGGGCAACAAACACGACGCAAGGTGTTGGATCATCGATGGGAGACGTGGGTCGGGTTCGGACTTCGGCACGAATTCGACGGATTCCGAATCCTACCTCCGCTGCCCATCGAGTTGCCTGAATCGTTGATCGGCGAGGGTAGGGTCCGAATTTCGCCGCCGAAGAGGGGGACACGATGGTTTCGGGCACCTCTTGGGGCCCCATGTCTTGCCGCAATCGGCGCGTTCCCTTGGAACGTCGACCAAAGCATGTCCAAAGTTGTTGTTGTTGTTGTTGTTGTTGTTGTTGTTGAAACCCTCGCCACTACTCGCGTAATT